CGGATTGTGCAGTTGTTGCTATTTGCTTGTGTTTGCGGTGTTGTTTGGATTTGTTTTAAGGGGAGTTCCATCACTATCTCTGTTTTTGTTCATGAAATTGAAAGAAGTTGACTTTCTATGTTATGTCCTAACTTGATTTAGTTGTTTGATGTGGTAAATATACTAATGGAAGAGAATGACAAATTCATTTTGTTCGTGGAGTCTCTTGGACTTCCACTGATTGAAATTGTGTTTGCCCTTTGGGTTGCATCTGTCAATTGCTTTTTTTCTTTTTTTTTATCCCTATAGTGTTGCTTTCTCACATTTTATAATAGTTGCATTAGAACAAGTTTGATGTTCAGGCATTAGTTTCCCATTTTTAGTGAAATTTTTATAGCTTGGAACATAGTGAACTCCGAGGGATCCGTGTTTGGTGGTCTTTCCTTTTTTTCCCCTCTTTTATATTTGTTTATTTGGATATTGATATCAAATTTAAACCTTGTAACTGTAGGGAACTCTGGGGATCTCTCGAAGGCAGCACCCCAGCCTGGACATAATAATTCCTTGAACAGGAATGAGGAGGTGAGCTACCCACCAATGTCCCTATTTATTAAATAAATTATTGCCTGCATGTGGACTTGCAATTTTATATTTTCTGCAGTTAGTCTTAACACTATTTATTTTTATTGTCATGTATAGAATGGAAATTTAAGGCAGACCAAATGGTTACAATTGCGGGAAACATTAATGCCCTCATGATAGCCATTTTTGGCTTGAGCTTCTGTGTAGAGAATACTTTTGAATCAACTTAAATGAGGAGCGAGCATTCATTTCATCTCCTTAGATACTGCTTATGGGTTGCTGCGCTGCACGTCTGGGAAAGTTCTATCCGAAATTGATTTTAGCAACTCTCCCCTTGATGACAATCGAGATGGCGCTAAATTTGGAACGGGCACTGTACAATGATCCGACCCATTGTTTTGGTAGAGAAACTATAACTGTTTTGAACTTGATTTTATCGAAGACAAAACCAGGCTTTGTTGTGCATTGTCATTCTTAATTTCGTAATAATGTCGTCTATTATTATATGTTTATTTCCCATTTGATACGAGATGATTTCAGTGAGATATTATTGTTTGTTTTCTTTCTTCGATAACAGTCTTCTTTGTTGGATTTGCAGCTCCTGTGCTTTAGTTGTTTTTCAAAAATGTTTAGTGATTATTAGATACTCAGGATCTTATAAAAAAAAATTATTTAGTTATTATTGGAATCTTAATTAGGCATTTAACTCAGATGTTAACTAAATCACTGCAAATTTTCGTATAAAATCCAGTGAAAATTAAATATATATACTGGAATTAATAAAATAACGAAGCAATCACTTTACATACGGTATGACATTAGTTTCAGTAACGTTGTGATATAGGTATGGATTCCAATTGAAGTTCAAATATCACTTGCGGAGGCGTTTCCAATCGCTTTAATTTCTTATTTGGGCAAGGAATCCAATCAATTGTGAGCAATGTTTGCAAATTTTTGTTTTAATAACCATAATATATATTTACAAGAATCTTATAAATGCATACAAAGTGAGGTGACAAAAAATAATGAGAGTGAACAAAAGTCAAATCTAATTCTCTTTTTATTTTTGCCAATCATTTGTATAGAGATCTTTGTAATGTATTTACTCTAATAACCGGTTGTAGATTAAAAAAAAAACATACTTGAAGGAAAATCTATGAACCGAAGATGGTAAAATGTCTGAGTGACGCCAATCTCTTTACTTATCATGTTTAACTATCTTGGATGGTCAATGAGACGATAGAGACTCTTGAATGTTATTACTAAGAGGTTTGAAGTTTGATTTCTTGTGGTTGTTAATAATGATAGCCATAGAGGATTATTGATCGTAACTTTAAAACTTCGAAAAATTAGTAAAGATACGTATAAATTGGTTTGATACTCTGTAAGAGAGAAGGGGGGGGTGGGGGTGTGGGTGGTTGTCGCGGGCGTGTGCGGGGGGCAATGATCTACCGCGTAGTGGGATACAAAAGTTGAGATTAGGGATGTTAATGGAGAGGTTGGGTTGGATATTAAGAAATCTAGCCTAGGCACATGCCCACCTTTCTTATAAGTAGCCAAATCCGCTGTATTATCCATTCTAAAAAATGGGACGGGTTTGGGTTTATGTTTTTGATCCTATATATATATATATATATATATATATATCTATTTCTCAAATTAATTAATCAAAATGATAAAAAATATTTTAATAATTTTATTTAGTGTTAATATTATAAAAATTATTTATTAGTTTTATTTTTGGGTGAATGAGACGAGTCAGGGTTAACAGTTAAAGTTAGCATTCCTATGGCCATCGCCAAAATATTTAATCATCTACGTGGGATCAATTTAAATATAATTCTTCCAAATATAACTCGAAAGGTACAAAGTTGAAAACACCTAAAAAAAAAAAAAAAAAATAAAACGATTAGTTGATTGTGTAGGATTTAACTTTTAATAGGGTATTGACAAGTATATAATATTTGACAAATATGATTATATTAAGATCATTTAGATTGAAAAATAATTTAGATGAAAATATTAATAAATAGATAATAGAAAAGAGAAAATAAAATATAAAAGACTGCGGTGTCAAAAAGCAATGTCATTGATGTGTCCAACGACACCATTAATACAAAAGAGATTGTTATAAGTTCATCTAACATTTTTTTTTTGGGTAATATAATGGTAAATTTGGCAGCTTTTCGCTTAAAAAAGCATGAAGAAGTACCATTTAAATCCTTCTCCATGGTTGCAACAAAAAGATCGATTTTAGCATCTAATGACTAGGTGGTCTCATGATAATCTCTTTTAGGTTGAGGGTGATTGGAAGCATTGAGCGCAGCATTAACTTTTATCTTATATTTATGATCAAGTGTTCAGTGTAGTTTGTCGTACCTCGATTAATCTTTGGAATCTATTGAATACCTACAAACTAGTATTCAAAGGTAAGTTACCAATGTGGTAAATGACCTAAGGTGATTTGAGCTTGAGAATCAATTAAGGGAGTAAACTTCTTAACGTTAGACTAACTCTTGGAGTTTTGACTGCAGTCTTATCACCAACGCATTAAGTCAATGTCGTTAGTGTAGGGTTTCAACTATATTGTCACCTTTTATTTTATTTTCTTCTTAATTTGGGGTTAGGAAATTTATGTTTTCTTTTTTTTTTTTCCATTAAATTTAGTGGTAAATATCTACAATTGGGTTTTTCCGCATATTTTTGAAATTTCAATACTTTTATGAGCTCATGAAAAAGTTAATCCATAACTAATGAAACTTGTGTATATTGTACCATATGATTTGATTTTACATATTATTATGATAGATGGAGAAATTGGTTTTAATCATTCTTGTTTGGTAGAAATACAATTTGTTCAAATGAAAACTATTTATATAGGAGATAAAGGATATAAATCAAGACACCTAACAATTATATTGCAACAAGATTTTTTTTCTTTAAAATTGGTTGATAATGGTAACAATGAACAAATCGTAATATAAACAAAGGAAGATTTTGACATAAATTTAAACCATGGAATGGAAAAAATTGAATGGTACACACTTGTACGTGGACCAATAAAAAAAAAATATAAAAAAAATTTAAAAGATTTTAAGTTTTATAAAGAAAACTAATTACAATATGCATTATTATTTTATAAACTGATGTTTAATTTTATAAATTTGACGTTTTGCATATGGTACAAATGTGTCTTTTCAGCATTAGACTTCTCATTTAACAAGAGCAAAATTCATTTGAATTGTAACAATAATACAATTGTTTGTTTACAAATATAAACCACAAGATATTAAGAAAAAATTATCACAATTGCTTAAAAACCATTTGAGGTAAAATTCCAATGAAATATCTTAAATAAAAAACAATAAAATTCATTTTTGATTATGTAATTTTAGAGCATAAAATTATCCTATCAATATTTTATATATAATTGTCAATATCAATATGTGATGTTTAAGACATAGTAAAAGAATTCAACCAAAAATTAGTGAGATATAAGGCAATGAAAAAATATATAGATATTGTGGTTTCATATAGTTGAAAAGATACATATAGACAAGAAATGTGTACCCTAATATTTATCTAATCAAAATTAAAAGAGCAACGATTTAACAAAATTGTTCCTTCTTGTGGAAAAGATTTTTGGCTACTTTAAATAATAGAGATGAGGCTACTTTTAAATATAAAATTAATCTACCAATTTACCACTTTTTTTTTTTGGTCAATTTTTAAATATATTATTCAATAATGTTTGTTTACAACTAAGTCATACAATAAGTGATACAAACAGACAAAATTATACAAAATTTATGAAAATGAATATCTGTCTTTGTTTTTTGTCTGTTTTATTACCATTTATGATTCAGTTTAAACATAACATTGCTATATTTATAAGTAATTAGTTTGCAATGTTAAAAATTAGAATTTGATGCGATCCCAGTACCAAATTGCATTACAAGAGAACATATTGGATGAAAGAAGAATCTAAATTTTGAACAAGAGAGAATTTAAGATTTACAAATTTATCAAGACGCTTTGATATAAGTTAAACCTTTTATAACACCAAGTATATGCAACGTTCTCCAATAAATACGTTACTTCTCCATCCTTTAACTAATAAAGATAATCATAATTCACATATTTATTTAGCTTTTCTAATATCTTAAATTACATCATCACCGAATCTAAGTTTATTTGAACATAATGATTTGAAACTAATTTTATTGAACGAAAACACCGATGTAATACCAGCTACAATTGGTGATTCCCATATAATTGAAAATTGTTTGGAAGTGAAAGTTGATGCAAGACATGCTTTTTGACATGGTTGTTTCTCAAGCAAAACAAACTTCATTTTGTCTGTTTGTGGCTTGTTCTTATTCTGCATTTTATTAAAAAGAATGGTTTTGGCTTTAATCCTTGCTGCACATTTTTTGCAGGTTCAAGCAGTACTTTTATTATTGGGGGGCTGTGAAGTACCTCCAACTATGCCTGCCATCCCTATGACTAGTCATCATAATAATCGGGTACTTTATTGACCTGATCAGCTGATTATTTTATATTTTCTTTTGTCTCTTTGAATTGTTTTTCTAACCAATCATTGAACCAGGGGCTTCCTGGTACTCCCCAACGATTAAGTGTGCCACAGAGATTAGCCTCGCTGATTAGATTTCGTGAAAAGCGGAAAGAGCGAAATTTTGAAAAGAAAATTCGTTATACTGTTCGTAAAGAAGTAGCACTTAGGTAGGACTGTCCTCGTTATAATTTGAATTAATTCTTTCTATTATGTGCTTAATTTATTATTTGTGGGACAGTTATTTTACCGTTGTTCATCATGGACTGGGTATAAAAGTCATGCATCTCATTTGGAAGATCATCCTGTCATTTGAACTATTTATGGTGCTTGATACTTGGTTATAACAATTGAAGTTATGGCACTCCAATATATAGCCTCACTACTGATAGAGATGCCTAGAACTACTATTATTAAGTATTGAAATTTGACTTTTGTGGAGGTTGGTATGATGAAGCATGCTTCTCTACTAGTAATGCTACTCTAGAAATCTTTAAATTTTCTGCTTTTCGAATAGAGTCAGTTTCCATCATTGGGTTCTATTCCATCTCAAAAGACTACTAGTCATCAACAGTCCATGAGATTTGAACTTTTCCTAGTTTTCATTTGAGAGAGGAAATGGACAAGGCATTAGTTGAAGATTTTAGTACTCTAGGTTTGGTGATTGTTTGTCCCTCATGTAGGAGAGGCCTTACAAGAGAATATGATTAATCAGGCTGTGCTTATTATAAAGAAGTTATATGTTTTACTATCCTTTGGATGAAGTTAGTAAGTTTTTTGGGGGTTTTGCTGTATGTTCCAAGTTTGTATGATAGATAACCATTTTTTGTCCTTTCTGGGATTTTTTGTTTATTAATCTAATCTTTGCATTTAGTTATTTTGATGGTCTACCTGATTATCAAATTCTGATGCTTATAGTTGCCTGTATTTTTTACTTGGTCCTGTTTATATTTTTGTAGGATGCAACGAAATAAAGGTCAGTTTACTTCTTCAAAGTCCAATAATGATGATTCCGCATCAGCAGTTTCAAGCTGGGGATCAAACCATAGCTGGGGTGTGGATGGCAATGGATCCCAAAATCAAGAGACTGTGTAAGTCAATATATATTTTTTTCTCCAGAATTTAGTAAGTGCTAAGTCTAACAGCATAATCAGCTGGGATTTTGAAATTGTCTTGAAGTTATATTTGGCAAATACTCTTCTATTCTTATAGAAGAAAACAATTCTTCTATTGACCTAGAAACTGTCAAGACAAAGCAGAATCAGGTTGTACCTTTGATAGAAATATTTCAAGCTCTGCACGGGGAGAGGGGAGCCCTAAAATTTTTATGAGCTCTGATTCTTAAATCTAAAAGATGTTAGAAGACTGTTAGTGGCCTATTTTAAAAACTGAATGTAAGACTTTATATCATTGCCTTTATCAAGTTGGGCTTCTTGCTTCTAATGACCACATGGAGTTGGGAACTCTATAACAGTCTGTGTGCAATGAACATTATATTTTCAAAATTTAACCTCATTGAACACTTTACCAGCATTTTGAGATGGAATAACTTCTTTTTCCCTTAATTTCCACATGCATATAATGCAGTCCTTCCTATAGCATTAAACTTATTCTGTTTGAACTTGTTTATATTGATTAATCTTGTGCAATTATGGATTTCAATATTTTAATTTTTTCTTGAATACATCAGCTGTCATCACTGTGGTATCAGTGAGAAGTCTACACCAATGATGCGACGAGGACCTGAAGGGCCAAGGACCCTTTGCAATGCTTGTGGACTCATGTGGGCAAACAAGGTAAAACACCAAGGGCTTTTTTGTGTATCATATAGGAGTTATATTAGTATTATTGTTGCACTGAGTGTCATCTCTTCTGGTCCATGTTGGCCCTACACTCTCCATTTGTCACATTGAGTTTTACAAGAGAAACATAACATTCATTGACTTACTTTCTTAATGTTTGTTTCTTAAGACGTTAGATGTTTGAAAAAGTCTCTAGAAATAACTGATGGACAAAGGTTTCATGGAGTGTTTAGGCTTCAGTTTGGAGCGGGAAAGGACACCTTTTGGGAGAGATGGTGTGGAGGGAAATCATGGTGGTGACTGAGTTTGGAGGAACTGGTTTGAGTAACCTGGTTATATATCAACCAGGGTTTAATTAATTTATATTGACATGTTTAGATAAGTCTTTGGATAAATGGATTATTTTGGTCTGGTGGTGTGGTGTTGTTATTTCCATTTTCATTTTCATTTCGTGACCCATTTTAATACATAATCTCTTTCATCCTATTACAACATACCAAATCTGACCTTGTTGTGGTGAACATCTTCTATCTATTTGAGACATTTGCATAGAGCAAGAGCAAAACTGTGACGAAAACACTCTACATTCGATAAGTTAATTGACAGGAGTGTAGTTTCTGGTGATTGTCTAAACATGTGAGCGACATCGTTGGACTGAGTTATGTAGTTCATGAGAATATGAGCCTGCAATTCATTTGGTAGAGTTGCCCTACATATTATAAGGTAATATTATAAGGTAGAACACCCATCATGTTAAGGACATTAAAGTTGATTTGTCAATGTTTAACTGATTGAATTCATTGCGATAGGACACCCATAGCTCGTTAGACACTGATACTCTTGTCAGTGTAATCAATTTGTGCTATCCAAAAAGAAAAGAAAAAAAAAAAATGAAAAAGAAAAGAAAAACAAAGACAGAAGGCTAATCTGCGGTGTCTAAGTGATACACAGAAAAATCGAACGCTATGCACAATTACTAGAAGAAGCCGTAACCAATATAAATGAGCAATATCCCAAGTTTCCCATTTGATGGATTATCCCTAAAATAAGTAAATCTCAAATAAGCCTTTAGGCTCATTATCAATCAGACTACCCTTGCATTCTATTTGTTAAATTCACTTAATTGTTCTGCTGACCAGAAGGAAATAGGATGTTTTCTGATAATGTTCTAGTTTAAGAATGATATTGCATTACCATTGCCATGGGAAGAGCATATTTAATGCTTGTGAATGATGTCATGTAGGGAAGAGACAGCAATGAATTTAGAAATGTGGTTTGTGGTTTCCATTTGTTTGGGTAAAGTTAGTGAAGTTGCATTTGGCAAAAGATAGACTTGATCTTCTCTTAGTTTATATTTCGTTCAAGAGGTGTTTAGCCAAAGTTTTTAAAATTATGGAATATTGAAGAAATAAGCATGTGATGACGCTTGGGTCTGGCATTTTAATTACCCTTGGTGGTAGGAACAACCAATATGGATCTTACTTTTTGGTCCTTGTATATTGAGAGTTTGTCTTGGTTTTGTATGGGAAAGACAAGCAATTCAATTGCTTATCAAACAGGCTTGTTGTCTTCTTGTAAATTCTCATTTTCTATCTGTTAGACCACCCATAAGCAAGGTTTATAAATTGAAAGGCAAGAGTAAGAATAGGCGTTAAGGTGCAGTGAGTGTGACGAGACAATGAATGTGGAGAGTGTGGTGAGTTTGTTATGAGTGTGGAGAGTTTGTTATAAGAAAATGCATGTGGCTGATATCAGTTAATATAGAATAGAATAATTAGTATATAGAGAGGAAGGAGAGAGGCAGGTCATTATTGAGTGATATCTTCATAGGACAAATTGGGAGGCCCCCAGCTCCTTGAGCTGCTGGGAACCCGCTTGTTGAGTGAATTGCTCTTTCAAGAGATATTTCAATCCTTATTAATACTATTTCAGTTCTTTTCGGATTGTGCAGTTGTTTGCTATTCTGCTTGTGTTTGCGGTTGTTGTTTGGATTTGTTTTATAGGGGAGTTCCATCACTATCTCTGTTTTTGTTCATGAAATTGAAAGAAGTTGACTTTCTATGTTATGTCCTAACTTGATTTAGTTGTTTGATTGTGGTAAATAGATACTTAATGGAAGAGAATGACAAATTCATTTTGTTCGTGGAGTCTCTTGGACTTCCACTGGGATTGAAATTGTGTTTGCCCTTTGGGTTGCATCTGTCAATTGCTTTTTTTCCTTTTCTTTTTATCCCTATATGTCTTGCTTTCTCACATTTTATAATAGTTGCTATTAGAACAAGTTTGATGTTCAGGCATTAGTTTCCCATTTTTAGTGAAATTTTTATAGCTTGGAACTATAGTGAACTCCGAGGGATCCCGTGTTTGGTGGTCTTTCCTTTTTTTTTTTTTTTTTTTTTCCCCTCTTTTATATTTGTTTATTTGGATATTGATATCAAATTTAAACCTTGTAACTGTAGGGAACTCTGAGGGATCTCTCGAAGGCAGCACCCCAGCCTGGACATAATAATTCCTTGAACAGGAATGAGGAGGTGAGCTACCCACCAATATGTCCCTATTTAGTAAAATAAATTATTGCCTGCATGTGGACTTGCAATTTTATATTTTCTGCAGTTTAGTCTTAACACTATTTATTTTTATTGTCATGTATAGGAGAATGGAAATTTCAAGGCAGACCAAATTGTTACAATTGCGGGAAACATTAATGGCTCCTCATGATAGCCATTTTTGGCTTGGGCTTCTGTGTAGAGAATACTGTTTGAATCAACTTAAATGAGGAGCGAGCATTCATTTCATCTCCTTGAGATACTGCTTATGGGTTGGCTGCGCTGCACGTCTGGGAAAGTTCTATGCCGAAATTGATTTTAACAACTCTCCCCTTGATGGACAATGGAGATGCGCATAAATTTGGAACGGGCTGTACCAATGATCCGACCCTCATTGTTGTTGGTAGAGAAACTATAACTGTTTTGAACTTGATTTTATCGAAGACAAAACACAGGCTTTGTTGTGCATTAGTCATTCTTAGAAATTTCAGTCAATAATGTCGTCTATTATTAATATGTTTATTTGCCATTTGATACTAGGATGAGTTTCAGTGAGATATTATTGTTTCTGTTCTTTCTTCTGATAATCAGATTCTTTCTTTGTTGGATTTGCAGCTCCTAGTGCTTTAGTTGTTTTTCAAAAATGTTTAGTGATTATTAGATACTCAGGATCTTATAAAAAAAAAAAAAAATTTAGTTAATTATTGGCAATCTTAATTAGGCATTTAACTCAGATGTTAACTAAATCACTGCAAATTATTCGTATAAAATCCAGTGAAAATTAAATATATAGTAACTGGAATTAAATAAATAAACGAAGCAATCACGTTTACATACGGTATGACATTAGTTTATCAGTAACGTTGTGATATAAGGTATGGATTCCAATTGAAGTTCAAATATCACTTGCGGAGGCGTTTCCAGTCGCTTTAATTTCTTATTTTGGGCAAGGAATCCAATCAAACTTGTGAGCAAATGTTGCAAATTTTTGTTTTTATAACTGGTTGTAGATTAAGATAAAGAATACAATAACTTGAAGGAAAATCTAGAACCGAAGAGGTAAACTATCTGAGTGACGCCAATCTCTTACTTATATGTTTAACTATTTTGGGTGGTCAGTGAGACGATAGAGACTCTTGAATGTATTACTTAAGAGGTTTGAAGTTTGATCTCTCTGGTTGTTATAGTGGTAGTCATTAGAAGATTTATTGATCGTTAACTTTAAAACCTTGAAAAATTAGTCGAAATATGTATAAATTGGTTCGGATACTTATAATAAGGGGGAAGAAAGTTTGTAAAATGTCGCGTGCGGTGGAGGCAATGATCTACGCGTAGTTGGGATACAAAAGTTGAGATTAGGGATGTTAATGGAGATGGGTTGGGTTGGATATTAAGAAATCTAGCCTAGGCACATGCCCACCTTCTTATGAGTAGCCAATCCGCTGTATTATCCATTCTAAAAAATGGGACGGGTTTGGGTTTATGTTTTTGATCCATCTATATTAATATATAGATATATATATACTATTTCTCAAATTAATTAATCAAAATGATAAAAAATAATTTTAATAATTTTATTTAGTGTTAAATATTATAAACAATTATTTATTAGTTCTCTATTTTTGGGTGAATGAGACGAGTCAGGGTTAAACAGTTAAAGTTAGCATTCCTATGGCCACGCCAAAATATTTAATCATCTACGTGGGATCAATTTAAATATAAATTCTTCCAAATATAACTCGAAAGGTACAAAGTCTGAAAACCTAAAAACAAAAATAAAAAATAAGAACGATTAGTTGATTGTTGTAGGTTTTAACTTTTAATAAGGGTATTGACAAGTATATAATATTTGACAAATATGATTATATTAAGATCATTTATGATTGAAAAATTAATTTAGATGAAAATATTAATAAATAGATAATAAGAAAAGAGAAAATAAAATATAAAAGACTGCGGTGTCACTAAAAAGCAATGTCATTGATGTGTCCAACGACGCCATTAATACAAAAGAGATTGTTATAAGTTCATCTAACCATTTTTTTTTTGGGTATAATAATGGTAAATTTGGCAGCTTTTCGCTTCAAAAAAGCATACAGAAGTACCATTCTAAATCCTTCTCCATGGTTGCAACAAAAAGATCGATTTTAGCATCTAATGACTAGGTTGTCTCATGATAATCTCTTTTAGGTTGAGGGTGTATTGGAAGCATTGACGCAAGCATTAACTTTTTATCTTATATTTTATGATCAAGGTGTTCAGGTTAGTTTGTGCGTAACTCGATTAATCTTTGGAATCTATTGAATACCTTACAAACCTAGTATTTAAAGGTAAGTTACCAATGTGGTAAATGACCTTAAAGTGATTTGAGCTTGAGAAATCAATTAAGAGAGTAAACATTCTTAACCGTTAGACTAACCTCTTAGAGTTTTGACGCTAGCCTTATCACCAAACGCATTAAGTCCAATGTCGTTAGTGTAGGGTTTCAACTATATTGTCACCTTTTTATTTTTATTTTCTTCTTAATTTGGGGTGTAGGAACATTTATGTATTTCTTTTCTTTTTTTTTTTCCATTAAATTTAGTGGTAAATAATCTACAATTGGGTTTTTACCGCATATTTTTGAAATTTCAATATCTCTTTATGAGCTCATGAAAAAGTTAATCCATAACTAATCGAAACTTGTGTATACATTTGTACCATATGATTTGATTTTACATATTTATTATGATAGATGGAGAAATTGGTTTTTAATCATTCTTGCGTATGGTAGAAATACAATTTGTTCAAATGAAAACTATTTATATAGGAGATAAAGGATATAAATCAAGACACCTAACAATTATATTGCAACAAGATTTTTTTTCTTTAAAATTGGTTGATATAGAGATAAAAACAAATGGTACAATGCAAATCGTAATATAAACAAAGGAAGATTTTTGACATAAAATTTAAACCATGGAATGGAAACAATTGAATGGTACACACTTGTACGTGGCAAAAAAAAAAAAAAAAAAAAAAAATTACAAAAATTACAAAATTATCTAAAGTTTTTATAAAAGAAAACTAATTACAATATGCATTATTATATTTATAAACTCGATGTTTAATTTTATAAATTTGACGTTTTGCATATGGTACAAATGTGTCTTTTCAGCATTAGACTTCTCATTTAACAAGAGCAAAATTCATTTGAATTGTAACAATAATACAATTGTTTGTTTATACAAATAATAAACCACAAGATATTAAGAAAAATTATCACAATTGCTTAAAAACCATTTGAGGTAAAATTCCAATGAAATATCTTAAAATATAAAAAACAATAAAATTCATTTTTTGATTATGTAATTTTAGAGCATAAAATTATCCTATCAATATGAGAGCTACTTTTATATATAATTGTCAATATCAATATGTGATGTTTAAGACATTAGTAAAAGAATTCAACCAAAAATTAGTGAGATATTGAAGGCAATTGAAAAAATATATAGATATTGTGGTTTCATATAGTTGAAAAGATACATATAGACAAGAAATGTGTACCCTTAATATTTATCTAATCAAAATTAAAAGAGCAACGATTTAACAAAATTGTTCCTTCTTGTGGAAAAGATTTCTGGCTACCTTTAAATAATAGAGATGAGGCTACTTTTAAATATATAAATTAATCTACCAATTTACCACTTTTTTTTTTTTTTGGTCAATTTTTAAAAAAATATATTATATCAATAATGTTTTGTTTACAACTAAGTCATACAATTAAGTGATACAAACAGACAAAAATTATACAAAATTTATGTAAAATGATTATTCTGTCATTTGTTTTTTGTCTGTTTTTATAACTCAATTATATGATTCAGTTGTAAGCATAACATTGCTTATATTCTATAAGTAATTAGTTTGCAATGTTAAAAATTAGAATTTGATGACCGATCCCAGTACCAAATTGCATTACAAGAGAACATATTGGATGAAAAGAAGAATCTAAATTTTGAGCAAGGAGAAATTTAAGATTTACAAATTTATCAAGACGCTTTGATATAAGTTAAACCTTTTATAACACCAAGTATATGCAACGTTCTCCAATAACATACGTTACTTCTCCATCCTTTAACCTAATAAAGTAATAAGATAATCATTAATTCACATATTTATTTAGCTTTCTCTAATATCTTAAATTACATCATCATCCGAATCTAAGTTTATTTGAACATAATGATTTGAAACTAATTTTATTGAATGAAAACCACCCATGTAATACAAATAGTAGATAGTGAGTTATGATGATGCTGAAACAACCAAGAGAGAGATAACTGAACATAGGAAAATAGGAATATGATAAATCACCACTGAATGTACCAAGTTCGGATAGTAGATTGGATAAAAAAAATCACAAAAGGTTGGATATTGTTTAAGATAACCACAAAAGGTTCTCAATAATTCATTCAAACAACATAATCAAGTCTTTTTCAAGGTTATAAAGACTCTTATTTATACTAGAATTATCATTAACTAACTAGGAATGAAATAAACTATTAACTGAAATAATGCTTATTCTAATATGGAAAATACCTAAAACAAAAAATTTAATTTAATTAGGACTACTATAATAAAATAAGAAAACCTAAATACAGTAAAACTTCTCTATAGTGATATTTTATATAGGAATAAACTCTACATAGTCATAAAAAATCCTAATCCTAATTTGGGATAGCTATAAATAAGAATAAACTCTATATTGTAATAAGTTATAATTTTTCTAATTCCCGCCTTAAGGAAAGTTGTCTCTACGTAGTAATAATTATCTGTATATTACAAAAAAAAAAATATGTTATGTAAAATTAAAGGTTTAAAATAAAATAAAATATTTATTTAAATTTGTTAGGGACAATGATTTATGCTTTAGAGTTGTTATCACATCTTTTACCTTACGAGTACGTAATAGCTTGTTAGCATGGATACCTTCTTGGTGAAGCCAAAATATTTTTAGGTTCTGAGCTTCATGGCACAAGATTTTTTTGTATTTTCGTATTATTATCCTCAGAATTATTTCATTTCTCTTCTTGTCTAATTGCAACAATGATTTCTCCTTTGGTTAAAGCATACACGATTTGTTGCTCATTTGAATAATCGAAGAAGTCATTAATATCCATTCGATTAGTGTAGTGAAGTTGTCGAATTTGATCACTCAATTCTATAGTGACTCTTTTATTCTTCTCATCAACTTCATTTGTAACTTACAATTCATTGACATTAGTGGTCTTAATTTTGCAGCGCTTAAAACCATTGACAATTGTCTGTGGCTTCACATCAATTGATCATGCATCAACTGCATTTACAG